AACGATATTTAAGTACAATTTAAAATTGAGTAGCCTTTCTGTATACGGGGTCACCGATCTTAGCCTTAAGATTTTAGAGAGATTCCTATGATGAAAACTATAAAGATTGTTTCAGTACAGAGACAGAGTAGCCATTGGTTTTCTGGACCCGACTGAGTTACAAAAGACATGGCTTCGTTACAAAGCGTTCAATTAACTATAACAACAGCGACTGTCTCTATACTGAATCAATCATTATTTTCTGTACTGAAATACTGAACAATTTGTCTGGCTGTATCTACGCACGCACTACTTTTACGAAAAAGGTTTCAAAACTATGTATAATAAAAGAATATTGTTCATAACAATAGGGTAGTTTCCTAAATTTTATTGTAATGTCCGTCTGGTACATTAATTTAAAACTTTAGACACGTATTTTTTCTTTTCTCACAAAATTAAATACTTTCGACGATATATTAATTTGAAATATCGTGTGACGTCACAGCGTGCCACATTTTGTAGCACGTTATGACGTAACGACCTCCCACTCCTAAACTTAGCGCCATTTTATCTAAGTATTACAACTTAAACTGTCAAACACCAAGCGGTCACCGGTGACCGCAACCTATTGTTCTATAATTAATAATAATAAATAAATAATAAATAAAATTTTATTCATAATTCAAAAATTGTGTCTACAAAACCGGTACTCGACGAGTTAATATAAGAAAATAAAAAAATACGTGTCTAATATTTTTTCGTTATCTAACTGACAGACTTTTAATTAGATTTTTAATTTTGATACCCTGGAAACTACCCAATTCTACTCCAGAACGGAACGCTTCCGAAAACGTGGAAAAAACATTATTCGTTTTTACAATTTGAATAGTTTTTGTTTCCGTGTTATTCATGCGACATCAGCCTTGAGCAGTTGATCACAACTATTATTACATAAAAAGGAACATTTAATTCCTTACTTTTATGAAAGAAAGAAAGAAAGTGTGACGTCATCCGTTGACATGTGACGCCACAGAAGAAAGAAAAGCTAAAAACAGAGGCCATAATACGAGTTTGATTTACGTTTAAAGTATTCGAAACGAGAATTTTTGCTTAACCTTCAAGTACTGACGTGGTTTACTCATACCATAAACGGTGACGTGACGTCTATCAAACACCTTAATAATTAATCGAAATGGATTACTTGTATTTACTGATTTGCACAATATTTACTTGTATTCTAATCGGTCCATTATAATTCTATTAAGGAAGTGCAAAAAATACAACGTTCTCGGATGAAATCAGCGGTTTCTGATTCAAATTCTATAAACTTAAAATATAAATATTTCGCATAACTTAAAAAAATATATGTTAAAATCTTAGCTACAATACAATTATTTGGACGTTTTTTTGGAAAATTCTTATATTCGTGAACACGCCGTCTATGAGACACCCACGTCAGTAGTTAAAGGTTAA